TTCTATCTGCTGGATGACTCCCCAAATGCTTGAAACAGCTAGGGCTAGGCCAGGAGCCTGGAATCCAATCAGGGTCTCCCACATGGGGGGGCAGGGACCCAACTATCAGAGCCATCGTGTGCTGCCTCCCAGGCTGCACAGGAGCAGGAGGCTGGGGGGGGCTGGGACTCAGGACCCACACACTCCAGGGTGAGACGCGCGAGTGCCAAGTGGCATCTCCACTGCAGCGTCAAACGCCCACCCCAAGGCATATATTTTTCAAAAGTAAAAAAAACTACAGCTGCTTTTAGAGTCAATGGAACATCATCAACACATGGCATGTCTCATTTATTTATTGAACAAGCCTTTTGGCATATTACAAATTTATTTTGTGTACAGAAAGAGTTACTCATGGGCTACTTAGGTTTTAAAAATTAATATTTCATTTTAACAGGTTACACTGTCACATTCGAAAGCCTAGCTCTTCCTCAGGCTTTTAAATCCAGCTAACAAATCTTACTATTCCATCTGTAACTCTACTAAATTTTAACCATTTTTAAGTAAGCCTTTGCAACTTAAAAGTCTCTTTAAAACTTTAAATTCTGTTTAAAAACTAGTCCGTTTTCTTGTTTAGTAAGTGTGTTGTCTGATTAACAAAAAGCCTTCCCAAGTATTTAGCTCTTATAAAACTAACGAATTAAACTGTAAGTATAGTGAATCTAACGGTCTCATAAACGTGCCAATACTATTTAAGAATTCGAAAAATTTTCTCATACACTTTAACATGACAATTCAAAACCAAGTTCACAACCTAAATTGCTTGGTATGTGCAAATTATCCTCAAAATGGCAGATTCTTAGACACTAAATATATTCAGCTGAAAAATAATTAAACTCAAGTTTAAATTATTTCATCATTGGGGCCAGCGCCGGGGCTCACTTGGTTAATCCTCCACCTGCGGTGCCAGCATCCCATATGGGCGCTGGGTTCTAGTCCTGATTGCTCCTCTTCCAGTCCAGCTCTCTGCTGTGGCCCAGAGTGGGGTGGGGGGGGAGGGGAGACAGTGGAGGATGGCCCAAGTGCTTGGGCCCCTGCACCCGCATGGGAGACCAGGAGGAAGCACCTGGCTCCTGGCTTTGGATCGGCGTAGCTCTGGCCATAGCGGCCATTTGGGGGGTGAACCAACGGAAGGAAGACCTTTCTTTCTGTCTCTCTCTCTCTCACTAACTCTATCAGTCAAATAAATTAAAAAAATAATAATAAAATAAATAAATAAATAAATAATTTCATTACTTCTATATGTAATTCTAATTCTCTCTAGGGTTAAAGATACTTACTTTTTTTTTTTTTTTTTACAGATTTATTTATTTGTTTGAAAGGCAGAGTTACAGAGTGGCAGAGACAAAGAGAGTCTTCCATCTACTGGTTCACTCCCCAAATGGCCACAAAGGCTAGAGCTGCATCAATCTGAAGCCAGGATTCAGGAGCTTCTTCTGGGTCTCCCATGTGGGAGGACTTGGGCCATCTTCCACTGCTGTCCCAGGCCGTACCAGGGAGCTGAATTGGAAGTGGAGCAGCTGGGACTCTAACCAGCACCTACACGGGATGCTGGCACTGCAGGTAGAGGGTTTTACCCACTGCGCCACATCGCTGGCCCCAAAGATACTTCTTAAGGAAACAATATCACCCCCCAAAGAATTAGAGGTGATTTTTCCAAGAGAATTTGAAGTTTACCTTCTCCGTTCAGAGATATGCAGGGTTATTTTCCTCACAATGAGACAAGACAGACCTCTCTTTTATGTCAATAATACCTCTCGGGTCCCCAAATGGGCGATTTCAGAGGCCACACCCTTGTTTTGGAGTTACACCAACTTTCAAGTCTGAGCCGAATCTGTCTCTCCCTCCACATTTCATTATCCCTTGACGGGATTCAAAACACCACCTGTTTGATTCCACTCTCAATTCTTTGCCTACTCTTCCTATTTACCAGGTCCACAACTCTTACAGATACTAGTGGACATGAAGTTAGATTCCACATGGCACTCAGGAGTCACCCGGTTCTACAATCACACTTGGGGTCATCCTAATGACAGTACCTTGTCAATCAACAAGGATGCCAAGGTGATTCCACTAAGAACCAAAATCCTACGAAGGGGAAAAGACAGAAAAGAAGAAAAAAAAAATCATAGTACAACAGTATAACACGGCAAGTGCTGTACCAACTGCAGATATGGCAAGCGTTACCAAACACAGAGAATACAGGAATTACGCCTGGCCATACACAAGCCATTGCCAAGCAAGCTTTACGTGGAGCTAGTGAGGCCCTCCAGAGTGACCGTGCAAGTGAGGGCCCAATGAGGCCAGGCTGACAGTCTTAAAGGAACTAAATGATCCCCACCTTGTAACTAACGTCAAGCTGGTAAGTTTTTTTCCCTCAAAAACTGTGCGTAACATCCCCAGCACCACCAGTCTGTTCAGGTTTTGCCTCGCTTGGAGCCCCTCTCCAGGCCACTCTGGCTGGAGGTCTCTCATAAATCTTGCTTTTAAATGTTAAAAAACCTGAATGACAAAGCATCTATCTATCGCATCAACTGGATATATTTTTTGCATACAAGCAAGATACTCTAATGGAATTTTAGATGTAAAAGGGGCCCTTAGAACACTATTTACCATACCTTCATGTTCTGGGGGTGGGGGTGGGGATTCAGATTTAGGAAGGTAAAGTGGCAGTACCAGTCACCTGGCTAATTATTCTTCAGCCTGAGTCAAAGTCCTAGAACTTGCCAAAAACTAAACTTGCATAATCATCTCTGAGTTGTGATTAATAAACACCAAACCATAATGCTGAGCTGATAACTGCAATACGCCCTTGTCGGCAGGAAAGCTGACCCTGGCCACAACACAGCTCCACCTGACTGGCCTGAGTGGTGGACGGACCCTCTGCCGTATGTTAGGTTCTTCTGCTGGCACCCCAGGGCTAAGCAGACCAAAGAAAGGGTTTAAAGACAGAGTGAGAATGGTGTGGGGTTTATTCGGACCAGAAAAATCTTACCCATTGGATCATTTCTTTTTCACTCTTAGCTTCCTATGAATGGTACACATTTTAAGCAAACAAAACCTGTTTATCCTCCAAGGGGCTTTTCTTAAATCTCAAAAGTAATAAGCGACATTTTTGTGTGTTTACTATGTGCTAGAAACAGACTCAAACCTTTTTAATGTTTCATCTTATTTAATTCCCAGGATGATCCTATTATTTTCTCGGTTTTCCAGATGAAGCTTAGGGAGATTAAGCAATTTGCTCAAGATGGTGGTGGAACAAGACCTGGAAGCCAGGCACAAGGCTTTGACTTCAAAGCCCAATTTTTAACCCCTACATGCTTGTGCTGGTTGATGCAAAAAAAAAAAGAAAAAAAAAAACCTGCACCAGCAGCTACCAAAGTTGTTTGCAAAGAAACCCCTGGTGGTTTTAAAGAATATTCGTGTGAAAAGCTCTGCCAAGGCCACAGATGTATCTTCACTGACACCAATACAAAAGAAAGAACCTCAACCATCACCTCAGATCCAAAGCCCACTTTCCATTCTGCAAGTTAACCAAGGGTTGGGAGTATCAGCTAGGGAGAGAACTTGTGACAGTGCAGGAAGTACCTGCTCCTCCCTTTGTTTTGGGGTGAATCCATCTATCTTCAAATGCAAACATTATCTGCCTCTGTGCTACCCTGAACTCCATCACTACTCATACACTAGCGTCGCTGAAAGCAGAGCCCATGTCTGAATAACAAGATGAAAAAGAACTGTCTCTTTAATAATCCCCCTGTGCCCTTCCAACGCCTGAGAATCAACCCCCCATCTCTGCAATCACATTCTGCATCCAATGGCCGGGATGAAAAGTTAAGAGTAGGCGGTGTCCCAGTGACAATGCAGGCCTACGAGGGAGTGAGCAAAAGCCAGCTCTGTCCGTGTTAGCGACTGATCGCTTCGGATCAGACCGGGGGTTACGACCCTAGCCGCCTTGCCTACACCACCTTGACTCTGGAACGAAGGATGCCTGTCATGCCTACCAGCGACGGACTCCCTGTTCTAGGCCCGAGAGCTCCAAGACAAATCCCGTCTCATAACAACGTCCACCTGCCCTGCACACACACAATCGCGCTGCAGCCTCACAACAGACGCAGGGCTGGGTCTGTCTGCCGGGATTGTCGTCATTAGACCGTGGCGGCAAGCAATGAAGTCACGCGGCGCGCTGGTCAGTGACAAAGCCACGACCCCTCGGGTCTCCCGAGCGCCTGGCGCTCCAGGGCAATTCTCACAAGTCGCGATGCGTCAACGACGTTAATCCACAGCGCACCCTGCCTCCGACCCTCGCTCACCACGACCTAGCCCCCTTCCTCCCCGGCACACGCTCGGCCTCGCGACAGAACGCATGGCGCCATTCACCTCCCCTGCAAGTCGACATCGCGACACTGTCGCACCCATCCAGTCGCTATAAGGCCCGCGTTGTATTATTGTTATTATCGTTATTTTGACGGAGAGAGGACGCACTCAACGTGGCAGTTCCCTTTTTGCCAGTGGCCCTGGCACAACCCCCTCCTCCCGGCTTACCTCTTGATGGTCAGGCTTCGGAAGAGCGGGTACCAAGCGGAGAACTGACAATGCAGCACTTGCTCCTTCTTCATCCTCCAGCTGCCGCAGCCGCTGCCTTAACCCGCTCCTGCCAGCTCTCTCCCGGAACCCTGGGCTCCGCTGCCGGAAGTGCCGCCGAGCTATTTTGGTTCAAGGACTCTTCCGGTCTTCAAACCAAGTAGGAAGAAGAAAAAAAGAATCAGAGGAGGAGACTCGTCGGGAGTACTCTCAGTGAACACACACACACACACACACATACACACACTTGCGTAAACGCAAAGACTGTGGATCCCGATAGAGGAATTGCCAAGGGTTGGGAGAGAAAGTTGCAGAAGTTTACAGCTCTCCTTCCGGAGGCGCTCGCTGACCCGGAAGGTAATCAGCTAGAGGCGAGGGCAGTGGCGAGGGCTCTACGGGTGCCGAGAGGAGGGCGCGCGCCCATCCTTGTAGCACCGCGAGAGGCGCCGGTGTCCCTAGCCGTGGCACCGGCATCTGCTGAGGCTGCTCCCTCCGACTCGTCCTTTCTTCTTTCGTTCCCCTTCCCTTCTTCACCTCGCACCTTAGAGGAGGTAACTGGTTGCGGGCCAAGCCTCTGGGGAGGAGAGGGATAGGAGGGAGTATGCACATCTGGATGGTGCAGACCGAGCAGGCAGCGGCGCGCGCGTCTCCCGGGCTGCGTGCGGCTGGACTCGCGTCCCGGCGCTCCAGGGGAAGACGACCAGGGTTTGGGGTGGAAGCGCCTAGGCTACTGGAGGAACGAAACCCGCAGTTAAGGGTTTGACTGTGATGTTTGAGGCACCTGCTAGGAGAATGGCGTCCTGTTCGTGCTTGGGTGCGGGGTGTGAGAGGCAGAGGGAAGCGATCCCGCCTGTGCGATCCAGGGAGGGGTTCAACTTTGCGGGTTTAAAAAAAGAGAGAGAGAGAGAGAGAGAGAAATTTGAGAGACGGAAGAATCGGGAACGCTGTCTCTTGGAGCGTTTAGTTCTTTTAGTCCGGACCCGCAGAAGTCAGCCTGGAAAAAACACAGCGAGATTTTTATTATCAGTGTCCCAGCAATGATGGACTCCTAAGACAGGCAAAGTTCTAGCTGAATTTGTAATATCACTCATTTTCTCCACGCCATCACCTTGCAGAGTTCAGTTTTGTTTCTTTAAAAGAATGAGAACTCACTAGCAGAGAGACTTGTTTTCATCAGCCTTGGACTTAGCCCGCTCACCTGGGTCCAGGGGCGCGGATTTCAGGTGTCTGCTTAAAATTGCATGCTCTCACTGATTCTCCTAAACAGTTGTAAAAATTGATAGTCCCACCGACAGCTTTAGAAAGCTGTCCATTGGGATGAAAAACGGATCTGCTGCTTCTTTGGAGTTACAAATTCTTCAACCCACGTTGCTTCACGTTGTGTTTTTCTCAGAAATGTTACTGGCTAAGTGGTTAGTTGGCAGCCCTATTTGAAAGGATACATTTTCAAAGCGGAGATAAATAGATTATAATGTTGCACCGTGTAATGGTGGGGGCTGCGCGGTAATGGTTCCTTTACAAGTTGTTTTTTTTTTTGTTTGTTTTTTTGTTTTTGTTTTTTTGACAGGCGGAGTTAGACAGTGAGAGAGACAGACAGAGAGAAAGGTCTTCCTTCCCTTGGTTCACCTCCCAAGTGGCCACTATGGCCGGTGCATTACAGCCGGCCCGCTGCGCCGATCCAAAGCCAGGAGCTAGGTGCCTCTTCCTGGTCTCCCATGCGGGGCCCAAGTACTTGGGCCATCCTCCACTGCACTCCCGGGCCACAGCAGAGAGCTGGACTGGAAGAGGAGCAACCGGGACAGAATCCAGCGCCCCAACTGGGACTAGAACCTGAGGTGCCGACAGCGCAGGCAGAGGATTAGCCAAGTGAGCCGTGGCGCCGGCCTGGAAGTGTTTTTGACGTCCAGGATGGTGCAGTCCTCTTTGTTTTGAGGGGATTAAAAAGAAACATTTCATATGTTCTGCAGGAGTAGTGTCAGACTAGCAATTGAAAAGAGAGGATGTCAGACATTAGTGGTCACTCAAATACCTGTTTTGTCCTGGAAATTAAGAAGTTGTAACTAAAGCTAATTATAGCACCAGAGTGGTGCATCTGGGCAAGATATTTTCTGTTGAAGATAGGAGAAAATAGGTACCAGCCAAGAAAACATCTGGATGTAGAAGTTGAGGCCACTTGCTAACCTTTAGAAGAGAACTGCAGGGGTTTTTTTGTTTTTGGTTTGTGTGTGTGTGTGTGTGTGTGTGTAGAAAAGCAACTAAGTTTGTAAACTTAGATTTTACAGGGAAGGAATTTGATATGGGTTCATCTTATTCAGGTTTATATGCTTTAGGTTGCTCCTTTGACTTTTCAGTATTGCTTATAGTTTTTAAGTAACTTGTTCACATTTAAGGAGCATCAAATAGTATTACAAACTGGAAGCACTTTTGAATGGATACAGCTGAGTTAGTTTTCACTGCTTTTTTTAAACCACCATGTTCTCGTTTAGTCACAAAGTATTATATACATCAAATCGCTTCAATAAAACCTTTAGAACAGTGGAAATAGTGGCTTTTTCTCATGCATGCTAGAAAATGTCAATCATCAAGGATTGTGGGAGACAGTTTTTTGTGCATACTAAATTGAAATAATGAAAAAACACATTTTCTTCTCTGAATCCAGACCATGACTAATCCTTTGCACAACTCCCAGCTGATTTTCTCAATGTGACTATCTACCCAACACTTCAAGCCACTGAGTCCAAATGTGTATACTTCACCACCCCTTTGTCCTAATGTCCCACTCTCCTTTAAGATGGTCTCCTTCTTGCCCATGGCATGGCAAGAATTACCCGTTACCTAGAAGTTGCTTCAGGACAAACAATAAATGCTCATTTGCAAGGAATTAAGTCTTTCCTTGCCAGTGCTCCCACTCTCCAAACATGCTGTTCCTTGCCTGAATCCTAACAAGAAGTTCTTTGCAAATGTTACTGTAGGGCAACAACCAGTTAGCCATCCCAAGGGCCACTACAGTCAGTTCACTCTTGTTCAACCTAGTCAATGATTAGAAATCACCGAATAGCAGACTCTCAATAAAAGTTAGTTCCATTCGTGCCCACCCAACCCTACATCTGCCAGAAGAGGAACACGCACACAAATCTCAGAGTGGTTTTTCATCCTTATCAAGTTATAGGTAGTCTTTATTACCTGAGAATGTATGCCAGCAAATAAAAGGTTACTTAAGGGAATCCAAGATTCTACCATGAATGATTACAAGAGAAGAATTAATCAGAATATTATCTTCAGAAATGAAATTGGTGTAGGCATTTGGCCTTGTTGTTAAGACACTGCTTAGCCGGCACCATGGCTCACTTGGCTAATCCTCCACCTGTGGCGCAGGCACCCCGGGTTCTAGTCCCAGTTGGGGCACCAGGTACTAGTCCCAGTTGCTCCTCTTCCAGTCCAGCTCTCTGCTGTGGCCCGGGAGGGCAGCGGAGGATGGCCTAAGTGCTTGGGTCCCTGCACCCACATGGGAGACCAGGAGGAAGTACCCGGCTCCTGGCTTCAGATCAGTGCAGCGCTGGCCATGGTGGCCATTAGGGGAGTGAACCAATGGAAGGAAGACTTTTCTCTCTATTTCTCTCTCATTGTCTATAACTCTCTCTCTCTGTCTCTCTCTCATTGTCTAACTCTGCCTGGCCAAAAAAAAAAAAAAAAAAAGAAAAGAAAAGAAAAGAAAGAAAGAAAGACACTGCTTAAAATGCTCACGGCCAGTATCCCAGTCCCTGGGTTCAAGTCCCAGCTCTGTTCCCCAGTCCAGCTCTGGAAGAAAGCAGGAATGGCCATGTAATTGGGTCCCTGCCACACACATAGGAGACCTGGATTGAGTTCCACACTCCTGCTTCGACCTGGCCAACCCCTGACTGTTACAGGTACTTGGAAAGTGAAACAGCAGATGGAAGATCTCCTGTGTCTCTGCCTTTCAAGTGAATTAAATAAATAATTAATTAAAAAAAAAAAAAAAGATGCTGACTAGGACACCTATCAGCATTCCATATCAGAGTTCCTGGGTTGAAGTCTCAGCTTCCATTTCTAGCTACCTGCTAAAGCTGGCCCTGGGAAGCAGCAGATGGTGACTCAGCCTTTGCCACCCATGGGAGAAACCTTCATTGAATTCCTGGCTCCCAGTTTGGACCTGGCCCAGCCCCAGCTGTTGTGGACATTTAGGGAGTAAACCAGTGAATGAGGGGAGCTCTCTCTTTTTGTTTCTTCCTCTCAAATAAATAGTTAAATGGAAATTTTAAATATCATGACTATAACCAAAATTATTCAGTATAACTTTTCTAATTGGTTCATAGTTCCTTTTAAATCAAGTGGTTGTCTATGTAATTATACTGACAGAACATAGGCTGACATCTTAAACTTGCCTAATTCGTTCCTTGACTGTACCCATACAATCACAACATAAGTTATTTCTGCAAAACTTTGATCTCCTCCCCCGCTTAATTTCTTTCAGAGTGCCATGTTGGTCTCTCTATTCAACTTTTAAACTGTTCCGATTGCCTCTTTTATCTGTCTGAGTTCCTTGGTTTGCTCTCGCGTACAAAACTTGGATTTTATCAGGGAGAGCCTTGCCAACGTACGATGTCTTGTTACGATTTCCATCTCCCTGCACGGCCTCAGCAACCTGCAGGGATTCAGATATGCTCATCATTGGACAGTGGGACCAAGTGCAGCCTCCACAGCCTGGCCTTGGAGTTCTCAGTTTCTAACTTCTTGAGTCTTAACTCCCACTGAACTCTTACCCAGTTGCTGTAATACTAAATATCCAAGATGGTGAGAAATCATTTAGCATGCTCACCTTCAGTAGAGGGTTGTCCTTGTTGCTTAACCCCAAAACTAGCTTATATAGCAACAGGAGTTTGTGGCACACCAGTTTTGTGCTTCCCCTCCCTTTAAATTCAGGGATCCAGCCGAATTTGTGCGTGCACTTTAAAATGGTCTGCAAATGTTCACATCCATTTCACAAGGTTTTCTCTGGTGGCGGGGGACGCAGGGGTCAGAGAGGTTGAGAACCGGAGATTGCCAAACTCATATTTCTCAACCTTGCCCCAGCTGGAATCTCTGCCTTTGTTTATGGGTTCCTTCTAGTCAGAATGTTGTCCCTGCTTTGTTCTGTAAATCGTATTTTAATATTGAACTTTTACAAGGCTTGACCATTTTCCTCATTGTCTCCAAGCGGATGTGATTTGTCCCTCTTTTCAAACACCCAGGTTTTATGTCCTCTATGGCAGGCTTTTGTTCATCTGATTGGCTTGCTAAGCTGAAGGATGCTCAAGGGCGGGCACAGTGGTCAGTTTGTGCCAAGTCTGTAACTCAGACTTTTCCATCGCACGTGCTCACGGAGCTGTAGACTTCTGCCAGCCACTAAGCAGGCACCCTGGAAAATTACGCACCCACGTGTCATAGACCTTCAGTGTTCAAACTGAACAGAGTTAAAATAGGTTATGTGAATTAAAACAGTTGTGACTGTGAGGACTAAGGACAGTTATAGATGAAATTGTGGAACGCTTAA